CCTAGGCTAAATCCCTTTCTGTCCCTTGTGGGCGATGGCCTTACCCAGAGGTTAAAGATGGTCCAAAGGCTGGTCTTCCTTTCCTTTCCTCTTTATTCCCCTCTTCTCCACACATGGCCTGACATTAAGCAGAAAATCACTTCCATGCTAGGGCCAGGGACAGAGCTGCTCCACAGTTTTGATTTGATGAAAGCCAATTAGGCATTTCCTCCAGTCTGTTATTTCAGCTGAAGCACCACACAGTTGGCTGAATGGGTCCTTGTTGCTCACAAAAGGGAGACATATTTGTAGGGAGAGTAATGGGCCGGTGATGGCTGTTGGCCGTACCGTCATTTCTAGGCAATTTCCTGGCAAGTGCCCTTTGGAGCAAGCACATGCTGGAAGCATCTATGCCCTCAATTCCTGCTTCACTGCTCCTGTTGGGCCCTCCGGGGACCCCATCTGTCCTGAACAGAGTGACCAGGATTTCTGTTTCTTTGGAAAGAGTTTGTATGTTACATGTCCCCCTTTCTTCTGGCCACTGTGTCCTCCTCTTGTCCCCCTGTCACTCTTAAAGCGATTATTTAATGCCTATTCCCATTACAGCCAATGCCCGCTCCCCCACCCCCGTTTGGGACCAGGAGCACCCGGACCCTAAGTTAGACTTGTGTAATTTGCTGACCCCAAGAAGCCTTGCTTTCTTGCAGTCACACGTTCCAAATAAAATAACTCAAACCACTATCTTACACCATAATCGGGACTCGTGCTTCCCAAAGAAAATAACTGAAATCATTATCTTACATCATAATCAGACCTCCTCCAGATGGAAGGGACAGAAAGCTCCAGCCAAACTGGCCAAAAGGAAAAAAGGTTTTTATTGGCTCACGCGATGGAAAAGTCTGTGAAATCTGACTTCAGATGTGGCTTGATCTAGCTTCTCAAAAATTCACCAAGGTCGAGTTTTTCTTTGTGTAGTTTGCAACTCTGTCTCCTGTGTGTTGGTTCTGTTCTCAGTCATCCTTTCTTCCTCCACAGGCACCGGGTACCTCGGATCTCATCTCATGACCTGCCACATTCAGTGGGAAGGGTGACCCACTCTTTCCCAGGAGACGGAGAACAATCTCACTGCATCTTTGACTGGGTTTAGTCCGTGTGTTCATTCTTTTTGTTTGTTTGTTTGCTTGTTTGTTTCAGATAGAGTTTCACTATGTAGCCCAGGCTGGCCTGGAACTTGAATGTAGCCCAGGCTTATCTTTAACTCACAATTCTCCTGCTTCCATTTCCTAAGTGCTGGGATTACAGGCATGTCTTGTGCCCGGCACCTATATATTCATGCTTGTACTGGTGATTGTGGCCTGAAGATGGGCGGCTTTCATGGTTTGGTATATGTCGTGGCCTCCACCAGGAGATGTGGACTGAGAGCAGTGAACAGCTACAACCTCAAATGAAAATAAAGATAATTATCTATAATCATAACCGGCTATTGTCTATGTCTCTATGTGCCTACCTGTTGCCTGCCTATCTATCATCTCCCTCTCTATCATCTCTATTTGTCGCTAGGGAAAGCGAGACTGGATGTTTTGAAAAGCAAATTACAGGTGTCTGCCATACATCTGAGGGTTTGTTTTGCGCTTGTTCTCATGTCAGTTCGAGGTTCAGTCTGCTACCCAGGAGTCACCCAACTCCTCGCCTTGTCTTGGCTCGGCCTTGGCTGGGATTTTCCTTGCTGCAGATCACCGTCGTTGACGTTCAGGCTCCCTGTCCTTGTCCTCTGTTGCCCAGAGACCCATTTACAAGAGACTTATGTGTAGCTGACTTTCATAGAGGATTTGGGGGCCCCAAATGGAACGGGAATGGGGGACACCGTTTTGCCGGATCTCCTATCCCAGCCCTCCCCATTCTCTGTGAGTGGCTGTCATTATTGAACGAACTCATTATCTAAAAGATGTCCTAAAGACTGGAAGTTCTTAAAATTGAGGGCGTATACTAGTTTCTTTTCTCCTAACGGACAGAATTCACTAAAGGGAGGGAGGTTTTGTTTCGGTTCCTGGTTTGAGAATGCAGTGCATCACTGTGGGGAAGGCATGCGGGCAGGATCATGACATCATAGTTAGGGAATGGAGAATGCTGGTGTCTTTCTACTTTTCCTCTTTTATTCAGTCCAGATCCCTAGCCCAAGGGGTGTTGCCACCTGCGTTCAGGACGAGTCTTCCTTCCTCATCTTAACACCTCTGGAAAGCACTTTAAAAACCACACCTAGAGCTGTGTCTCCTAGGTGATTCCAAATCCAGTCAAGTTGACAATGAAGACCAATCAGCACACTTCTACCCCTTGTCAGCTTCCCATCCAAACACATCACTTTTACCAGTGTCGTTCCATCCTAATCTCTATGGTCATAGTTATCTCAGTGCAAGTGGATTTAGCACATTTATAAGGGTCTCCCCAAATCTTAGCAGTTCTAACATTGTTCAAAAAGCCTCCAACTCAGTCTCTTCCAGCAATCTCACTACTGTAAGCTCCCATTAAATAAAATCAAAACAAACCAAAGTATATACTTCCAAGATACGGTAGCACAGAAATAAATATTCCTATCCCCAAAGGCAAGAATGGAGACACAGTAATGAAAGCCAAGCAGGGCAAACACTGAATCTTACACTTCCATATTTGGCATCTGGAGCTCATGACGGAGTCATCTGGGCCCCAACTGCCTTGATTATCCTACCCTCCAGCTCTCCACCTATAATACTCTTAGGCCTATTCTACCCCATGTCTGAAGCGTTCCCTGTCAATCATCTCGTTGTCCTGGCAGCTCCAGTATTCTGGGGTCTCCATCGCAACTTAGGCTTCTCTTTCAAAGCTTCATGCCATAGTTGGTCAGGGCATCCTTGCGGGGAATCTGATCTGCCACACAGGGCCTGGCCTCACCAACTTTCTTAGACCTTACCTTGGTTCAAGCTTTCACAAGCCCTTAATTATTGCATTTTGCATGCCTGCAAAACCACATGGACAACACTGCTAAGTTCTGCTGCCAGCTCGTGAAGTCTGGCCGCCCGCCTTCTGTAGTGCCAGAGCTGTAGCGCCTTATACGTGCCTTGATGTCTAACCCTGAGAAAACGCTTCCCTCTTCACTGGAGTTCTCAGTCCAGGCTCTCTCTTTTGGGATGGATTTGTATTTCATTCGAGGGTGGGGCCTTCCCTTTCTCATTATTCGGATGAACAGCAGGGGGTTTCTCTTAATTTTCCCCACTCAAGCCTTGTCTGCAACTTTAAACTTACTCACGTGCGTTTCCTCTCCAAACTGTACACTTTTCTTTCTTTGTTTAAAAAAGTTTTATTTATTTATTTTTATGTGTATGGGTATTTTGCCTACATGTATGCCTGTGTGCTACATGTGTGTCTGGTGCCACTGGAGGCTAGGAGAGGGCACCAGATCCCTAAGACTGGAGTTACAGATGGTTGTGAGCTGCCACAAGGGTGCTGGGAATGGAACCCGGGTCCTTTAGAAGAGCCACCAATTCTCTTAACCACTGAGAATCCATCTAGGTCACAAACTGCATGCTTTTTATGTATTTCTGCTCTCTTATTGTATATCTCACTAAGAGCTGTAAGCAATGACCATGCCCCTGCCTGGATGCTCTGCCATCTTCAAGTTTCCTCCATCAACACTTAGTCCATTAACTTTCAGTTGAGACTCATACACATTTTCAGCACATGGACTAAAGCAGCAAGAACTCCGTGTCCTCAGCTCCCCATGTATAACACAGATAGTCTTTAGCCCGGTTTCCAGTAGTCTTTATTCCCCTCTGAAACCGTGTGAGTACAGTCCTTGCTGTATGCTTCCTGTGGGTGTTCTGGTCTCCCAAATCTCTGCCAGAACACCTCATTAAGTCCTGCTTACAGTATTCTAGGGCCTCTCTAGACCACAGCTCCAAACCTTCCACACTCCTTTCACAAACCATTTTTTTTTTTTTTTTGGTTTTTCAAGACAGGGTTTCTCTGTGTAGCTTTGTGCCTTTCCTGGAACTCACTTGGTAGCCCAAGCTGGCCTTGAACTCACAGAGATCCACCTGGCTCTGCCTCCCAAGTGCTGGGATTAAAGGCATGCGCCACCACTGCCCGGTCACAAACCATTTCTAAAAGCCTATGAACCACATGGTCAGATTTATCACAGTGACAGCCTCACTCCATGGTACTAATTTTCTGTATTAGTTACTTTTCTCATTGGTGGGACAAAATACCTAACAAAAACAACGAAGAGCATTTAAGAAATTTTTTGACTTTATGTGTCTGTTTTGCCTGTATATATGTATGAATGTGCATCACATGAAAGCTTGGTACCCATGGAAGTCAGAAGAGGGCATCAGATCCCCTGGAATTGGAGTTATCAGCAGTTGTGAGCCACCATGTGGCTACTGGGAATCGAACTCAGGTCCTCTGGAAGAGCTGCCAATGCTCTTAACCAAAGAGCCATCTCTCCAGCTCCCTTTCTCCTTTTTTTTTTTTTCTTTTTTATTCAGTGTGGGTCCCCAGGCCATAGTATGGCACTGCTCATATTTAGGGTGTGTATTCCCTTCTCAGTTAAGCCCCCGGGGAAATACTCGCACAGACACATCCAGAGGTGATTCTAAATCCAGACAAGTTGATAGTGATGATTAACCATCAGACCTCCAGAAGTGCAAGAACACTGAAGTCAGGTTGCCTCAGTTCAAATCCTGGCTCAGACACTGACTGTCTGGGAGGCCTTGGGCGAGCTACTAAAAAAAATCTTCATCCCTTGGTTTTGCTGTTTTAAAAATATTTCTTACCTCATAGGACTGCTTTGCAGATTAAGTAGGTTTATGCTTTTAATCTTGGAATAAAGTAAGTGCTATATGAACAAAATAACATATTCTGCTTTATGACTAAAATGAATACTTTTGAGAGTGAACCGATGCTATTAACAATGTCAGGAGAACAGGTGTAAGCCAGGGCTGCCCTCGGAAAAGAGGGACTTTTGGTCACACACATATAAAGGGTCGTTAGGTAAATAAGTGTCTTCATCTTTGTTGGTCTTATCCCCTATTTTACTTTCTCATGATTAGCAGTAAACTCTGCCAACCGTAAAAGCCTGTGTCTTTATCGTCAGGGGTAATGGAGGAAGAAAGAAAGAACTGGGCGGGGAAGTCCAATAGGGCATCAAAACAGGATCTGAAGTGAGATGCATGCTCAGGCACTGGGTAGATGTGCCTGCCCACATCCCACGGAAGCGGAGCAGCCTGTGTGTTTGACAATGGAAGGCATGTGGCCAGCTGGCGGGTGGTTGGATGTCCAGAGTCTCAGGCCTCCCTGGGGCCTCATCTTGGAAAGACTTCCTGAGGGAATCTGTGCGGATCCTGTTTGACATTCAGTTCCTGTCGTCTGCTCCCTGGGTTTTCCGCTCTCTCTCAAACTGGACCATGTGGTTCCATTTGCTTCCCCAACGGGGAGTGGTTTTTCATTACCTTCAAATAGTTGTTTTTATGGACTGGGATAAACACCTGGTGGGCAGAAGTTTTTTTTCACATGGTCATTCCAATTTGAATTCCATTATTTCTCCTGCTTACCTGGAGAGGGAGAAAATACACCTTTTAAACACAGTTTTCCTTTTTTTTCTGGTTTCCCAGAGAGATGCACCATCATGTAACAGCATCTCTGCAGCTGGACACATCTGTCTGAAATACCAGTCGCCAGCAGCTGTGGTGGTAGCCATGTTGCCAGAGGGGGAGGGGAGTGAGAAAGATGCTTATGTGCCATTCAGAGATGGGTATCAACTTCGTCCTCACCCCTTCTCCTGAAGGGGCTGGAGGTGGCAGTGGGAAGAGGAAGGGACGAGAAAACAAGATGGTTTTTTTCAGTGCTTAAACTCAGAGCCTGGAGTGTGCTAAGTAGGTGCTCTCGCACTGAGCCATAGCTCAGCTTAATAACACATGTGTCATGCAGTAGGTTTGACTCCATTACACTTAAAAAATGTGTTATTGAAACTAGAGCTATGGCTAAGTGGTTAAGAGCACTGGCTGCTCTTTCAGAGGACCCAGAATTGTTCCCAGCACCCATATGGCAGTTCATAACTTCCAGGGGACCTAATGCCCTCTTCTTGCTTCAGTGGGCTCCAGGCTTGCAAGTGGTGCATATACTTACAACCAGACAAATAAAAGCAAAACAGCTTTCCATGTTTTTAGTCAATGTGTTTGATTGTTTCTGTTATTTTCTTGAATATATGGGATGTTGTTTTAATATCTTTTTAAATATCTCTGTCTACTAATTCTACCCACTACATCCATTTTAGGCTGGTTTTCATTGCTATTTATCTCTATTATGAATTGATTATATATTTTCCTGTTTATTTGTGTGTACTATAATTCTTGTGCCTTAGTTACTGTTCTACTGCTATGGAGAGACACCATGACCAAGGCAGCTTATAAAAGAAAGTATTTGACCAGAGCCTTGCTTATAGTTTCCGAGGCTGAGTCCATTATCACCATGGCAGGAGCATGGTGGCACACAGGCAGGCATGACTTCAGAGTAGCAGCTGAGGCTTACACCCTGATCTGTAGGCAGGTGGCAGAGAGAGAGACACTGGGTCTGGTGTGGGTCTCTGAAGTCTCAAATCCCACCCTCAGTGACACACCTTTAACAACTCTATGGCTCTGAATCCTTCCTAAACAGTCTACCAGTTGGGAAACCGACATTCAAATATATGAGCAGACGAGGGCCATCCTTGTTAAAAACCACATCTTGGTTGAATTCCAAATACTGTGTGTTTTGACTTGTTGTGTTGGATATTTGGTATTTGTTTTTCTTTTTTCATTACATATACAGTGTTCTGCCTGCATATACACCTGCAGGCCAGAAGAATTTATTGTCTTTGGGTACAACCAGAGTGATTTTGGGTCTCTGACTACTATTGCTCCACCACTGAGTTAATGACCAGCCTCAGAAAAGTGATGACTTGTGGATTATGAGGTTTTCCATGAAGGTTAGTAGGCCAGCAGACCAGTAGGCGAACCCTGAGGATTTCCTCCTTTACTCCTTTCAAATATAATTTTATTTTAACCTGAGTGCTTTTGAGACAAACCAAAAGACTCTTCCTTAGGTATTTGTCTAGGAGTTATAAATACTGTTAAAATGTTAATGTCATGATAGATCTTTATTGCAAACACTTTAATTTTGTCTTTTAAATATTATTATAACAACACTTTTATTATTATTATTATTATTACAATATTGTTATATTACTTCTTCCTCCCCTTTCCTCCCTCCAACCTCTCCCACCTCCTCTCCTGCCCACCCCTCCTTAATACCTCTCAAATTTATGGCCTCTTTGTCTTTAATTGTTATTGTTTCACACACACACACACACACACACACACACACACCCTGCTGTATCCATTTATGTTTGCTTATTTGTATACAATTTTAGGGTTGACCACTTGGTATTGGATAACCAGTTAAGGAGCTCATATTTGGGGAGGCTCACCTCCTGTTCATGGCATTCCTTAGTTTCCCACAGTTCCTCCTCTAGATATGGGCCGTTGTGAGATTTCCCCTTTCCATGTCTATTGGTATTGTCCTCATTTAGGTAGCCGTATTGCCGAGGCTTCCCTGCCATTCCTGGGAGGCACAATCTCACAGCAGATTTCCTGGTCCTCTGGCTCTTACAATCTCTCCACATCCTCCTCTTCCCCAGTGTTCCTTGAGCCTTGATGTGGGGGTTGTGTTGTGGATGTAGCTTTGGGAGTTCAGCACTCCATGGCCAGTTGTTCTCTGCATTTTGACCAGGTGTGTTTTTTAGTAATGGTCTCCATCTGTTGCAAAGAGAAGCTTCTTTAGTGAGGGGTGTGTGGCGATATTTTATTTGCGCTGAAATGTGGTGATATTTTATTTGTATGTTAATAAAGTTTGCCTGGAGATCAGAGGTCATAGCGAGCCATAAAACAGAAGTCTGGCAGTGGTAGCACACACCCTTATTCCTACAGCACTAGCCATAGAGACCTGGAGGTCTGTACAGACAGGCAGTGACGAGGAAGTGATGTGGCTGAGCTTAGAGCCAATGAGAAAGCAGAACAGGAAGGCAATAAAAGCGCAGGATAGGCAGGAAGAAGCTCTCTGGAGAAGCTACAGCGTGGTGGTAAGCTAAGGCTAGTCATGGCTATTCGCTATCTCTCTGATCTCTTCAGCTATTACCCCATGTATTTGGCTGTGTGTTTCTTATTTAATAAGACTGTTTAGAAATTCGTCTACAGGGGTGGCAGCTGCACTTACTAGGCAAAACTGGTTTATGAGTAGAAGGAGGGAGGCCTCCGGGGATAGAGATGGCCGCAGAAGACTAGGCACTTCAATTTTTCCTTTTCAAGGCAGGGTTTCTCTGTGTAGCCTAGGCTGTCCTGAAACTTGTCCTGTAGACCAGGCTGGCCTCGAACTCACAGAGATCCTACTGCCTCTGCCTCCCGAGTGCTAGGATTAAAGGTATACGTCACTGCCACCTGGCTTAAAATTTTTTTAAAGATTAAATCTACAGGGCTGGAGAGATGGCTCTGGGGTTAAGAGCACTGATTGCTCTTCCAAAGGACCCAGGTTTAATTCCCAGCACCCACCTGGCAGCTCACAACTGTCTGCAAGTCCAGTTCCAGGGATGTGACAACCTCCACACATGCAGGCAAAACACCAATGCACACAAAATAAAAATAAATAAATTATTTTTAAAAAAGATTAGATCTAGAGACAGGCGGATCTCTGTGAGTTCGAGGCCAGCCTGGGCTACAAAGTGAGTTCCAGGAAAGGCGCAAAGCTACACAGAGAAACCCTGTCTCGA